ATTTATCAGTTACATTATTTTTAATTTCATAAGAATTTACAAAATTAGTGTGGGCAAATTCTGGGCAGAAAGAATAAAGCCATGTGTATCAATCCCCATTAGTTGAAGTTCTTGTAAAAATGTGTCAGATAATTAAGATGATTAGACAGGCATATTATTTTTAATTACTTTGTGTATTTAATTAACAACTCCTTCCTGAAAGTGAGCAGCTGTGTTGTGTGTGATTTTATATATAGGTTCATTCATTTCAGCCAAAGATAGAGTCTTGTAGGGTGTCAATAAAATGATGCTAGTAAAGTTTCTATTTAAAAGTTTACATTGAAGAAAATATTCACATTAACTAAATGCAAAAATGCCTTTATTTTTATCTTAAAGAGAAAGTTTTTTTAAAATCCTTATGCAAATTCATAGCCTCCATTTATATAGGAGTATTTAGACATAACGAATATCAAAATATCAGTATGATGGTCTTATATTTAAAAAAAAAAAATGTTTATGGACATGCTCTATGGTGCCTTAAGCCTCAGCCAGCTACTTATCTGTGTGTGTTAAGTGCAGATCCTGAGTAAATGGTTATGTACCAAAACAGTAACGTATTACTACTGTGAAAGTAATTTTACAGAAATCAATGGAATGCGCTATATTTTTTTAAGTGGCACTCATGTAGTCTACAAAGAATGAGGATAAAGTAATTTTTATTTGTAAATATCTAGCATAGAATTTAGTTGTAGTTTTTCATAAGGCTGATGAGCATCAAATTGAATTTAATAATTGGTAAATATAGATGAAAAGAGAATAATCATGCTAAAGATTATAGTGTTAATAATTCGTTAGGAAAGAAACTTCCCAGAGAGAGAGATAAAGGTAGGTGGAAATTAGCCAAATTAGTTGTAACACACTAGACATCCATGTAACCACCATAGTGCATTAATGATAAAATCCATTCTTATTTGGATTTTTGTCCAATATTAAATTATACATTATAGAGACATCTGTTGCTCTGACCAAGTACTGTTACCCACTTTTGCTATTATCCTTGTATATTCTGGCACAAACATAAAAATAGCATATTATATGGACAGCTACTGACATGGGCACAGCTCTGACTACATGTGTAGTCTACCTCCAGTGTACTACCTGCACTGCTCAACATGAAAGTTCTTCCACATTTCTCCCCCGACATTTTTATGGTATTGACCAGACTCGTTACTCCTACCATCCAGAGAAAAATATCAGAATTACTGGAGTCTGCAATAAATATCCGAACTGCTTTTGTTTCCTGAAAAAACACATTTACTCATTTGATTTACTGCAAGACAAATCAAATAAACTCTCTGGGTGTCCCTCAGATCAGACACGTGTTGTAAAAAGTCTACTTATCATAATACAACACTATTTTTGTCATCGTAGGCAAAAAATAAAAACAACCATGCTATTACATTTGACTCTCAGTTCTAATGGTCACATTAGTGGGCGTCTGGATTTGGGGGTTGGAGCGTGAGAGATCTGTTTATAAAACTAAATTTAAAGTTCCTCTGGAATCAAACCATATAGAAAATGTAGCAACTTAGCAACAAGCCCTGATAGAGGTTCAGATTTGATCTCCTCTGTTGCTTTCATAATGGAAGAAAAATGCTATTAGTGAAGCAGCATTTGAAGACTCATGTCAAAAATAAAAAAGAAGAAGAAGAAAGGGAAAAAAGAGAGTGGGAAGCTTGTCAAAAGCATCATTTTTCCAAAGCAGCTACTTATACCAGACTTATATAAACTAAGTACTGTCTCACCTCTATCTCAGGACTATGATGAAAGTGCAATAAAATTAAAAGGTCAAAATAAAACCACTCATGTCTTCCTTAGCTAAGTGAAAGAGGGCATGGATAACTTCCTTACTTCAGAGACTGTTTAAAAATGAGATCTTTTCAATGAGGTGCCACGACCTACCAATTCAAAAACGCAAACTCCTGATTCCCGGGAACCTTCTTTGCTTTAACTTTCTTCTACAGAATTTATCATGGTCTAACAACTATATAGTTGACTGCTATTTATTACTTACTGTGTATATGTTTTGTTTTGTTCTGTTTTGTTTTGTCTATCTCCTCCCATTAGACTGTAAGCACAAGGTCAAGAATGTCTGTGTTGCTCACTTACAAACCTTCGTGCTGAGGAAGTGGCGGATCAGTACTCCATAAAAATCAGCTGAATGAAAATAACTGTAATCTACGCCCAGAAATTAACCTAGAGTAGAAACTTTTAAGATGAACCAATGGCACAAAAAGCCAACTGTGATTCCAATAAAGATCATATTTACCTCATACACAAAGTTTATCATTTTAAATTCATCACACATAAATTCAATCACTTTGGGGATAAAGGTGTCTATATAAAACCCTCTAGAGCAGACTAATCCTTCAAGCCTTCAAAGTTCAACAAAAGCTAAGGGAATTCTAATAAACATATTAACATTTACATTTAGTTTTGAGCTACTTCTCTCTCTGCTTTATGTGGGAGACTTTATGTCCTGTTGTAGTTCTATGGGAAAATGATGACAGTCTTATAAATGTTTATTCAAACCACCTCTACAAAGCAGTCTTTAGGCAGCATATAAGAGTCAGCACAAAAGAGGCAGAATAGTACTTAGTGTTCAAGCTAGAAATGCGAAATATATAGAAAGATTTATTATTAGTTTCCTCTTATGCCACATAACCAGACAGAACAAGTCACAAATTGTCTGAATATTCACAAGATGAATTTTTGCTCTTCTACTGGCTTAAGTTATAAAAAGTGTTTTATAGTTTTTTAACATCAATGCTTTCTCCCCGCTCCCTCCCCTGCAAACACATACAGTATCGGCTTTACTACTTCACTTTTTGAAAAATCAGATTTCATTAAAGATAAAACATGTAAGAGTACTAAATGCCTGACATTTGGTCTTAACAAACTTTTTGGAAAATACTTTTAAATGCGGAATGGAATATAATAGAAACTGCCACTAAGATGTTTTAGTGGCTGAAATGCCGCTTTGAACTCGCACCTTGACAAAATGAAGAGAAAATGAAATACTTCTGACCAAGCTCAAAGTCCTCCACTGTCATATTTTTGCCATGTTAACGACTTGGTTGATTTTAATTACTTGAACGTTAAGTCCAAGAATGGAAAGCATGCAATATTGTGGTAAGAATGTAGAAAAACTAATACTATACACCTCCTTAGCAATACCCATCTAACAGTCGCAAGGCAAACACCATTATTCTCAATAGCTCTGAAAACACGGGGGGTAAAAAATGAGGCTTGAGGACCACGATGCTTATGCTCTTCCCATCTTCCTATCCATATTGTAGGAGTCGAGAAACTATTTCCTAAGTATATGATTTTTACAATCATGAAAAATAAACGGTTAATTCAGGAACAGTCTTGACTTTCCAAAATTTGATTCTCTCTTTTAGATGATAAACTGCTAAATAATCTAATTTAACTTAAGTGATTTGAACACTGAGGTTCAAAATCAGCAGAAGCCTATTCATGTTTGAACATTGTGTGCTTATCTGGTTGGTATTTTTAGTTGTTAGAGAAGAGCTACTTTTTATTAAAACCTTACTAAGATGCCAGGAACTGGTCTGTCTTTGCAAATATTATTTCATTTTACCCTCGAATGGGTTTAGAAAGCAGATGCTCTATTGTCCTGGTTTTTCAGGTGAAGACACAAAAGCCCAGAGAGCGTCTTGAAGATGCTGGTGTCACACAGCTACTGAAGAGAACGGGATCGGAACGCAGCCTGTCTTGCCACAGGGACCCACTTCTTAACATCTCTGCTATTCCGCCTCACAAGATACGATAGATGGAGATTTTTCCAGAAAATAAACTCCAAACTTCTAATACTACAAATGTGCCATGCATACAAGTGGAAAGGTTTTCTAAGTGATGAATGAGCATGTGGAAGAAAGCAAATAATTGGAAACACTCTGAAGGACAGTCACATACGATGACCTTGGCTGTCACCGAATTCACTACAAAATGTCATGCTGCACAGTCAGAGCAAGGATAAGGGTGGGATTAAACAATATTATATTACACTAGCAATTGCTCCAAAATAGGGAAATAAAGTGTTAGGGACTAAAGAATTTCAAATCATTATTTTTCTTATAGGAATTTTGGAATAAAGGCTGAAAATAATAATAAATCAAAACAGGCCAAATCTAAAATCTCACTGAACAAGTCCTGAACAGTAGATTGACAAAAGCAAAGATTTTAAAACCTTCGATATAACAGATGATGACAACAAAACAAGTGTGATATGAAAAGTAGAAACATCAAAATCAATTGCAGCCAGTTTACAACCGCCAACAAAAGAAGGTCACAGCAACCGAACACATTCAGAGCAACAAGGCTTTCCGGTGTGCACAGCCCCATACCTCACTCCATTTCCATTATAACCAGTAACGGTAGCTAAAAAGCAAAAAAGCACTCTCAGATCAGGCTGGGCCGGCAGCACGGCCGCACCTGGGAACTTGTCAGAGATGCAGAACCTCTGGTCTCGCACTGATAGGAAGCTGCATGTTTCCGAGATCCCTGGGTATCTCAATGAGGTCTGAGAAGCCATGGAGGAGGGGTGGAGGCCGACAGGAAGGGGAGGCCTCCCTCCAAATGAACGGACGCTGCCGCTGTCTGCGCCATCAAAAACCACTCCAGGAAAATCAGTGTGGGATACTTTAGGAATGGATGGCGATTCTGAAGATGACGGAAAGTGAAAGAGTAATTGACGGTACGATGAGTGGCCATGCCTGCGCAGCGCAGTGAAGACGGAGCGAGCCAGCAAGCCTGCTGACCTCCCCCAACGGGGCCTGAAGGAGAAATATCCCCTGGCTCAAGGCCCTGCAGGTGGGTCTAAGTGAACAAGCGGATGAGATTCCGTAGCTGGAAAACTTTAAGCATGGTGCTCTTTGAAGTTAAATCCTCAGTGCCTCACTCATCTCATCAGAATTACACACAAAAGCAAAACTTACCAACCAAGACGACAAGTCTGTATTTCTCATTGGTTTGTCGCCGATAGGGTGTCACTTCCTCATATGTGGGTACATCAGCTGTGTCATACTGATCGCTCTTCTTGCATTCGTACATGGATTTATTTGTTTTCTTATCTTTCCTACTGAGACGGAAACTTCTTCTGAAACCAGCTGTCAATACAAAAAAAAAAAGATTTTTAGTAATAAAAAGTAAAAAAAGAAGCCCCCCCAAAACAAAAATAATAAACCCTCAAAGTGGGTTAGATTTTATTCACCATAATATTGTTACAAGTGCACTTAGTACGAGAACAAAAATAGATACTACACAATTTAATTAAAACACTTTATAAGAGAATCATGTCACAATTTTATTGTTATAATACTATAAATTTTATTTGATTCTAAATCATAGTATTCCTTTCAGAAATCAATGAGTAAAATAACTGTTATAAAGCAAAATAAGGAAGTCAGAAGTGATTTATCACGCACTGATTGAACGCATTTGATAAAGTTAAAAGTACTTAAAAAACATTTTAAATACAAATGAGGAATTCTCTCATTCATAAATCCTGGAATGTTTTATACCATATTCGAAGCCTAGCCTAACAACATACCTGTGGCACAGACAGCATCTATTGTTAAATAGAAAGAAAACTGAATTAAGGAGAGCGTAGTGTCAAACAGGCCTGTGCACAGATCACGCTGATAGAACCAGACTATCTGTAAAAGCAAGTTATTTCACTTTTATGAGACTCCAGGGGGTTGGAGTAAAAGACTGAGCCTCAGGGCCTTTTCCTTCCATGGAAATTCTGTGTTTTTATTATTTAAAACCGATGGAAATTTGGATACAAGTTTCATAGTCTCAGTTGTGTACTCTTATCAACGGGGCATATGACCTTTTACTGCGATAACTTTTTAAGTAGTTAAATAAATTTCATGTCTGCTTAAAGAGCTCTCTCCAGCTCACTGCTGTCAGTTAACATGTGGGCTTAAAAAGCGAGGCAAGAGTTCTTCTCGGTCGACGCCCATCTCATTCTGCTTGCTCTTCATGCCGTTGCACTGTTCTGGTTTTCTAGAATAGGGATCTTTACCATGCGCATAATTTAAGAATTGAGTAAGACGTGCAATGAATTCTTGACCTAATCAACCCTTTACTCTCTCAAAATATAGACTTCAAGGGAGAGAAAATAGCCTGCTTATTAAGACATGCTATATATTCTAAATCATCTCCATAGTACAAAAAAAAATTTACAAGTACATTTTAAATACATAAAAATATATTCTCTCTAAAAATATTGATTACATTTGATACATAGAAAACTTTTTTTAAAAAATAAAGCTATTTTATAACAAACTATAAGAATGTAATAACTAATCTGTTTGAATTTTAGGGAACTTAAAGAAAACATAACTATTACCATTGGATTTAAAAGTTAATAGGATTCAAAATAAAGGCAATATTAAAAAGCAATTATCAGTGACTATGGAGTTATAGTACTCACCTTATAGACTTTAATAAAAATCAATCAAGATATTAATAATGCAGTGATAAAAGTTTATCTGATAATATATTCCTGTGGGCCACCAACAGTCATTCTGATTTTGAGGAAATACTCAGATTATTTGAGGGAAAACATTTACAAAGGATTTGAAACAAGACAATCACTCTAAAGTTCTCTTATCAAAGGTAGAGAGGAAAAAGTTAATGGGGTAAGTGTGAAGCTCATCAGTATTTTACAAAAAATGACGAGATTTGAGGGAGGCAAAGGGGTACATGTGCCAACCTGTTCCTATGATGAAGAAAAAATGAGTGAATTCGAAAATCACACATGCAAACGGAACTCAATCTTCTATATAAAGGGTCAGAGGACACGTTATATATATATTTTTTCTCATTTCTAGGATATTGAGAAGACTCATATGAACCCAGAAAAGGATGCCTTCCATATATCTCAAGAGTCATCACAACACCACACCAGAAGTAACCAAGATTCTTACAACTACTCCCGATGGTTTAGCAGAATTGGTTCCCAGACAGTCATCGCTTCCTAATTTGCAGAAATTAGTTATCCCATCCCAATCCCACCTCAAGTCCGTCACCTGTGACTGCTGGCCCAGATTGGAATCAAATATACGAGGGCTTCTGGTTTAGCACAAAAATGACAAATCAGCTAACATTTCCATTCTGGTATTTCATTGTGTTTTAATTTCAGGTTCTCACAGTTCTTGTCTCATGAAAGGCATTTACAGGAAAGCAGGTAGAACTAGAAATTCCTGCACAACTATTCCTTGTATGGGGCAAGGGTTAT